TAGAAAACATTAAAGAAACACTTCCAGATACACTGAAACATTTTTAACATAATAAACCAACCAAACTCACTGCCTTGAGTCAGATCTGGATCCGGATCCCGATCTCACTCATAGCGACTCTTCCTTGGGTTTTTGAGGCAGTATCTCTATGGAAGTAGATTGACCAATCTTCCTTCCAAGGAGTGGCTGGTGGGTTTGAACCACCAGCATTCTGTTAGCAGTCAAATAAATGCCTTAGGCACTACGCTACTGGGCTCCTTTTAACATAATAATACAGTATAATGTTTTGATCCATGTCACAAAGTAACACCTGTTTGTTATTACAAGCCATTGTTGTTAGGTGCCACTTAGTCTGGCTAGACTCACAGTGACTCTATGTACAAAAGAACAAAACATCACGTGGTCCTAATGCTGCATCAGGATTGAAGGAAGACTCATTAACAACCTGCAATATGCAGATGACAAGCCACTGTAGGTACCTTGAATTTTTAATAGGCATTACAGGGGTTGGTTCATTACAACAGTTGTACACAAATCAGATATTCATATGGGGGACTGCCTGTATTACTTTGGTGGTAACATAAAAGCAAGAACCTTCCTAAATTGTTCACTTCCTGCTATTCTAAACTGGGAAACAAAGGGAAGCTGCTCTTCCCAAGGATACAAGCCAGGGTTCCAGAGTTTAGCTCCTCTGGGCTGGCTCCCACTACACATTGGTCCTAAGACAGGATCATCCTGATAATGTATTTGGCAAATAATGCATCTTATCCTAGATCCCCAAGGATTCTGAAGGCTGTTCATGATACATTTTCATTTGTACAACATATTTTTGCTCCACACTCCCCAACCTTCCATTTTCTGGGACTTGTTCTTACTAAGAGACTCGTTTTCTGTATCGCAGAACACCAGTGGCATTATAACCCAGGTGCAAAACTAAACGGGTTAAATTGTCCCTTAAGGCAAGTTAAATCTCAGGTCCTATACATTCAACTTGATCTTGGTAAGTCAATGATGATAGTAACTATTGCATCTGCCTCTGTTCTACTAGAATGAAGACATACAACCATATCTTTTTAGAAGATATTCAAAGCTACAATATTCCTTTATTCAACTGAAAATGCTTAACTAGAAAAGAACCCTTCATTTACATTACTGCCATGGCTATGGTCATGTCATGAGCTACATCAAATTAAAGGCTATGCTCAAATAAGTAAAAAATAATTCCACAGTAGATATATACTGCATGTATCAATAAACAGTATTTATCTAGATAAACAGATAATAGTCTTTACCTTCATCAACAGATATACAGCATAATAGCTTTTGTCCTCATCAGTCAGCTATGTATGGCTCTCTGAACAACAACCAATTTTCCATTGTCCCTGCTACTTAACTCTTTTCCGGAATGCCAGGGCATTTGAGTATACCTGGGACATTCATGCACTATCACAAGGCAATGAAAATGACAGAATTTTGTTTAATGACAAAATTGAACTTGAACAATATGACTAACCTTTTTTTCTTTAAGGCTTACACATAGTTCTACCAAAGAACTGTGGTAGTCCCAGTTCTACCAAAGGGGACTATCAATTTCTCTGAGTTTGTCAGTTGGTTGATTATAAAGGGATATAAAAACACCAAAACACCAAATCCACTGCCCTCGAGTCGAATCCAACTCATAATGACCTCTCCTTGGGTTTCCGAGGCAGAATCGCTATGGAAGTAGATTGTTTTGTAAATGAGAAAGCATAGGTATCTCAGGTTCCATTCTTATCTCTTATGGCTAAACTGATGAAAAAAAGAAGTCTTTCTTGCCCATACACTCAGTATAATGGCTAGATTATCACAGGCACTCAAGGAATGCTAACTGGAAGTTATCACCACAGTACAGATTCATTCACTTCATGAGTTTCATGTGGGGAAATATACCTGGATGATCCTAAGAATATAGATTGCAGGATAATTATAGCCCAGGCAGAAGAACCATCAAATGAAAAGCCCCCAAGAGCATTGGAATGGCAACTTCTCCTAAGTAAACATACTGATCATTTTTAAGGAGGAAGTTACGTATACTTAAGCCAATTTGCATTGCAGCTCATTTCACAGAAATGTCTTCATAGCTTCAGGAATCCCCTGTGAAATTATAAATACCAGCACCACAAATTTAAACTTATTTTGAAGCAGACTAAAAAATAATGAACTAATCACCAAACTATCATGTCTTCATATATACCTGCATCAGACTAGATTTGCTTCTCATATGCTCTCTGAGGGGGTAAGAGAGAATTCTGCTATATGATGAATATACCAAATGGGACAGGAGGTTTAAAATGAACACCCAGAACCACAATTTTTAAGAAAACAGTATGGATCAAATAGTCAAACTGATGGATTAAACTAGCCAACTGTGTGGGAGAAATCCTATGGCAATTAATAGTTGTAGTCAGTTATTATGAACCTCTCAAGCCCAAAATGTTTTCAGATCTATTCTTGTATTAACATTTATTACATTCCTGAGAGCCAAGTAAGGACAAAGATTATCTTGCCAAATTTTAGCTGGAAACACCATGCCAACTCAAGGTCAGACTGTTGGTGGAATTTTTAAGTCCTCAGCATAATGTTGTCATAGGCATTAAGTGAACACTGATTTGAGTTAATGCCCCCAGACATCATTATCAATAGATCAGGGTATCCTTTGCCAGACATTCTGGACTGATGCAATTCTGTCTTCACTAATAGTAGCAGTCAGCTGTTATACAGTGTGCACTGTGTGCCAAGCACCGAGTTCAGACCTGTATGATTAATATTTAGTTTAACAACCACCCTTTGAGGGCAGTGCTTGCACAGGGAGACAACTCAGGGGGCAGGAGTGCATGGGAGAGAAGGTCACAGGGAAGAGGTAACTACAGGGAGGAAGTAGGAAGGGAGCTATTACATTGTGGGGAATTGCAGTTAATGTCATGAAACAAAATGTGTATGAACTGCTGTAAGGAAAATGAATTTGCTTTGTAAACTTTCACCCAAATCACAAAATTAAAAAAAACCAAAAAAACAAAAAAACTTTGAGTTAGGTACCATTATTAACCTCATTTTACAGCTAAGGAAACTAAGACTAAGAAAAGTTAATATACTGAAGTTGCCCTGTTACTACATCATGGTGTTTGGATTTGAACCCAGACTTTTGACTCAAGAACGCTATTCCTAACTGCTACACATTCCTGCCTTCCAAATCACTGAAGTTAGTACATGAGCTATTCCTGTCTCACTCTAGAAAGTAGAATAAACCCTGGTCAGCAAAGTTATCTGACATATTTCGCATCAATTGACACTTTACTAGATTTGTGAATTTGAGCCTTAATTTACTCATTTGGGAAAGCTTATATGATGAAACCTGTGAGAGCCTGAACTCAACAGGACTGCTTTGTTTTTCCAGGTCTTACAAACTTTCCAACTTTGACAAGGTGCAGTCTTACTTTTCTATTGTTCATTTCAGTGGAAAATATTTGCATTTTCCTTCTCTGACAGGTTTCTCCATTACACAGGTTGTGGCTTTTGCAGGTTTTATGAGACTTATTTTATGTAGGTATTACAAGATTATTCCAATCTACTGTCTCCTAATTTTTGTGCCTGAATGTATCATATTAGGATCACACTCCTATGTCCATGTAATGACTCTAAAGAAGTAGGAACACAAGTTTAGATATCCAGAGTTCTAGTCCAGTGGTCTATTATTATAATAAGAGGCAGGTCACATTGTAGGCCTTTCCCAATTCTGATTTCTTAAGGGGGTGTCATGGATTGAATTGTGTCCCTCCAAAATATGTGCTAAGTTGGCTGGGCTATGATTCTCAGTGATTTGGCAGTTATGAAATGATGTAATCATCCCCTATGATGTGATCTGATGTGATTGGCTAATCAGTTTTAAGGGAATTAGGATGGCATACAACAACCTTACTCAGGTCACAGCACTGAACAGACGTCAGAGGAGTCTCCCTGGGTTTTAGCCTGCAACACCTTTTATCTTACAAGAGATAAAAGGAGAGAGAAGCAAGCAATAAAGTGGGACCTCAATACCATCAAGAAAGAAGAGCCAGGAGTGGAGTATGGACCTGGGGTACCTGCATTGAGAACCTCCTAGACCCAGGGGGAAATTGATACCAGACACATGGAGATCTCCAAGGAATGCCAGGCCCACAGATGTTGAAAGGAGACAGGGACCTTCCTCCTAAATTATGAGCTGACAATGAGAGCCTTCCCCTAGAGCTGGCACCCTGAATTAGGACTTCTAGCCTCCTACACTGTAAGAGAATAAAATTCTGTTTGTTAAAGCCCCTCCACTTGTGGTATTTCTGCTCTAGCAGCACTAAATAACTAAGAGATGGGGCATTTTTTCAGAATGAAGGGCACAAAGAAGAGTGAGATGTGTTCTAAAGACAGGTGATTTCAATATGCTCTCTAGTTGAGGGCTCATTTTCAACTGTGGTGAGCCCTCAACCAAAGGATTCTAAACTTAGGAGTTAGATACTCAAATTGAAATCTTTCTCAGGTCTACTGACCGTAAGACCTAGGGTAGCTAGCTAATTATGCTCTGAAAACCTAGCACAGTGACAGTCTTGCACATAATAACTATTCAATACACCTTAGTTATTACTTACAGAATCCCTATCAGATGCCTCACTTGAATCTGTTGAATGCAGTGAAAAGTAGCCTATTCTAGAGCTCTTAGTTCAATAACAAGTTCAAAACTACTTTGCATCTATCCTCAGTTATTCTTTCTTGTAAACAGAAAGAGAGTAAGTTCACTTCCTGTTTAACATAAGAAACTTTATCCATTCCTAATTGCATCAGGAGAGTTCAAACATTAGCCATCACACTTAAAAAAAAAAAAGTGAATTTGCTCTGTAAATCTTCACCCAAATCACAATTAAAAAAAAAAAAAAAAAAAAAAGTTTCTCTCAAGTGATTATACTACTAAAGAACTGATCATAACAAAAAAAAAATGCATTTCAATACAACTAGCTTTATTTATTTATTTTTTAAACAAAAGAAAATGGTCTAAAAGCAAATGCAGAAATGTACCAAGGAATGGACATGGCCTGGTACTTACAAAGAAGCTGTTATGTCATAAATGGTAACAGCACAGACAGAAAAAATAGTATTTCAGGTGGCATCTGTGTGAGTAACCTAGAGGTGTAAGTTAACTGAAACGTGCTCGCTCTGCCAGGCAATTAATTGGTGAAGAGAAAAAAACCACCAGGAGTCACTTCCAGAGGACTCTGTGGTGGCAGCAAGAGAACTGGCATCAACTCACAGTCTTCTCATTTTCTCCATTTTCTATAATTTTCCTCTTCTTTTCATCTGTTTTCTTCTTGAAGATATTATTTCGGTAAAACTGAAGTTCTTTGATGCTTTCACTAATGTCATCAAGTGCCCTAAAAGCAAACACACTACATTGAATGGAATGCTCAAAAACAGAGGAGATGAAAATCACTTGATAAAATACAGCTGCTTATAAATAACTTTGGAGCAATGGGCACTACTATAAATGTCACGATTGGACATCATCAAGAAATGGGACACTGCAGTAAAGCAAATTTTTTTAAGTGTTCTGTTTTTTAGAAAACTTTGGATTTATTAATAAATAAATAAATAAACACTTTCTAAATCATAGCAGTCCAAAATTTCCCAAATTATTCCATAAGATGGTGATGTGTTCCATGTGGAGGGGAGGGGGGATAATTCTAGGTCAAGGAAGTTTAGGAAAACCTACACATTTCTTTCTTGAAGTTCTCTGCAAAGCATTTAATACAACTAGCTTTATTTATTTATTTTTTAAACAAAAGAAAATGGTCTAAAAGCAAATGCAGAAATGTACCAAGGAATGGACATGGCCTGGTACTTACAAAGAAGCTGTTATGTTATAAATGGTAACGGCATAGACAGAGAAAAATATTATTTCAGGTGGCTTCTGTGTGAGTAACCTAGAGGTGTAAGTTAACTGAAACGTGTACTGTGAATTCCCAAAAGGAGGTTATACTAGACACACAGTATTTCTAAAACTTAATTGACCTCATATGTGGAATACTTATTAACAGCTTGTGGAACATAGTTTGGGAAATACTAAACAGTAGTTAATGACATCCTTGCACAAAACATACTGACGTACTTGAACATTCCTGTCTCAGTCATCATCATAAGCATCAATCATCAGACAGTCCCTGATAATAAAAGAGGATCTAGCTCCTCTCACATGGTGACTGGTGCTATGATCAGTGGCAGCCTGCCTCCATCTACAGCCTTTCTTCTCCTCTAACATGCTGTTTCTTATCTCTTGTAGTCTGAGAAATCAGGTAACCAAGATTATTAGAGCAGTGTGCAAGTAAATCAACAAGCTCAGAAAATGGGCCAAGGACCTCTTCTAGAAAATAAACTGCACAAATTTTAGTGCAAGAGTTTTATGACAGTTATTTCTGTGGGTAATGCAACAATCTTGTTTTCTTTCCAGGTCCTAGATATATGGTGGAGCACTGAAGCTGTCACAAATACAGCCTCTGTGGCTAAATAATGGTACATAACCTCTTTACACAATGCTGAAATCCAAAAGTGATCTGAGAACCCAAAGGACTTTTGTCATCCATTATATGGCAAAACCCGACAGGTCTTGATGTGAGGCTATTTTTAGTCATTAGTTATTCCACTTGGCATGACTATCCATATGTTTTACTGTAGCTATCAGTGTGCTTTGTCATAGGGTTCTTCTGCAGCCCTTACTGGAGTATTACAAAATGTTACCAAAACAATCTCAGTGCACTATTACAGACTTTGTAAAATATGAAAAATTCTGAATTCTAAAATATATCAAAAGCCTAGTTATTTCAGATAAGGTATTATACTACCTGTATTATAATACACTTGTATTATTGTAATGTCATCCATGTAAGATCATTGGGGAGGGGTTGCCCATTAAAATGCAAGACTCTAGAGCAGGGACTTGGTCTTTCCCTGCATGCCTAGAGCCAAGCATGGCATACAGTAGGCACTCAGTAAAGGATGAACCAAGTGCTTCCTTTAGAAGGAATCTCCCTTCACCTTAGCACAGGATACATGCTATACAAGATCTTTACATTCCTTTTGTATTTGTAACTAAGGTTGCAGCTCATAAAAGAAAAAATCTGAAAGAGTTAAATGTATCAAACTTAGGGTAACATTATTATACACCTGTACTAAACTCTTGTTATTTTAAATGGCTACAAGGTATAGTCTCTGTGGGAAGAAAATTAATTCTGTTCATTACTAGAAAGATGTTTGTTTCATCATACCTACAAACTAAGTTATCTAAAGTTTTAAAACTCTAACAAAGACTATACAAAAGAAAAAGAAAAAAAAAAAAAAACTCACTGCCATCAAGTTGATTCAGACTCAGTGACTCTCACTGGGATTCCAAGGCTGTAAATTTTGAAAGATTTACATCATCTTTCTTCCACGAAGCGGCTGGTGGGTTCAAACCACCAACTTTTTTTTTTAGTTAACGGCCAAATGCCTTAACCACTATACCACCAGAGCTCCTTAAAGACTCTACAACTCAAACATCTCAAAATGGAATACTGGAATCCTGATCTGAATTCCTGATAATCCTAGCAAAAGAAAGTTCTTTATGGTATTCAACCTTTACTTTTCCACCAAGAGAAAGAAGTGCACAATCATTCAGAAATCTGGGGATGATGTGTGCATCAGGTTGCCAAGTCTTATCAGGACCCAAACTTACCTGTGAGAAGCAGCCTTCTTTGGTGCAAATTCATATTCTTCAGGATACCAGCGTCTATATACAGCAGAAATGGAACTCTCAAAGGAAACTGTCTCAAATACACTGAATAATTACCTCCCTCAAGTAATTTATCAATATTGAAAAAGGCATTCTGGTATGCCTCTTAACCCAGGACTCTAGTCTTCCACCCTTCTTCACTCCTCATTCTACATTCTCTTTGAGCAAAGCTCATCTAACCACCATCAAAGTGTAAGAGTCAAATCTGCAACCCCAGCCTACCCCTCTCCTGAGTTTCTCTCAGGGATATCCAACTGCCTGCTGGATGACTCCACCTAAAAATTCATCAATCACTTCCAATTCACCATATGCAAAACCACATTCACCATGCTAAACACTTCTCTCCCCCATTCACCAAATCTATTCTTCCTCTATGTACCTCTTTCTCTTTGAACAGTAACACCACCAATCCATGTGGCCCAAACTAGAAACTCCACTGCTGCTTTACATTTCTTCCTCTTCCTCACCCCCCAATCAAGTATTCAATGTCATGCCTATTCACCCCCTTTGATGTTTCATCTCCACACCCTCCTCCACTGTCCAACTGCCATCTCCCTAGCTCATTCTTCTTTCTCCAAGATGATGCATATTTCCTTTCTTATCTCCCTAGCTCTTTTCCTGCTATCTTCTCATCTGTTCTCCTGAGATCAGAATGATCTAATCATATCACTCATTCCTCACTTAAAATTTTTCAGAGGAATCCATCCCATCGCATATAAGATAAAGTTTAACCTCCTCAGCATGCCATCCAGCCCTTCAAAATTTGGTCTCATCTTCCACCTTTGCCAACCTCATACTTCGCACGTCAGCCATAATGAACAGCTTGTGATTCCTTGAACTTATTTTGTTGTTCTCCTCCTGCTGTCTCATACCTTCAAACCTGTCCATTCCTTTTTGTGGGAATGTTCTCCCTTCCTTTAAAAGCCTGAAAAACATCCTCTCATCTTTTAAGTCTCAACCTAAAAACTAATTCCTATAATAAAGCTTTCCCTGACTGGCCAGCAATTAGGTACTCTTCCTCTTGTGCCCTCAACAGACTATAGGCAAATGGCCATTAAAGAGATCATATATATGGGGTGTGTTCTTCACACATTTGTCAACCCAGACTGCATGGTACTTGAAGGCTTTTTAATCTATATGTCCCCAGCACATGGGCCCATGCCTGGCACAGAATGGGGACTCAGTAAATTTTCTGGATTAACACTTTCACCCAATTCTTACCAGTCCAGGATAAACAAAAGTCCTGTCCAAGTGAGAACAGGATGAGGAAGATAAGATCCCCACTTTATACCCTCAGCTCTATAGCTCTACTCAATTACTTTTTTTTTCTTTTTTACAAATTCCAATTAAAACATGCTAAATGAGGTAATTTAATAGGTCCTAAATATAGCCCTTACCTGCACAGTTCTTTAACAGTGCTCACATCAATTATTCTATAATGAAGATGTTTCATGAACTGAGGCATGTATTTGTCAAGAAACTTCTTATCTGCATGAACTGAATTTCCTAGAATGACACGAAGCATACTGCATCTGTGTATTTCTAGTGGCACACAACAGGATATAAAAATCATATTTGAAATGGAGATGATTTTTTTTTTATTTAGACAATTCCAAAAAGCATCTCAAAATTTCGAAATCAGTTTGATTAGTCATCTGATTAGGTTCCAAATGCAGATTTCTAAGTATTTCGTCAGTCTAGCTCATAATAAATTTGTAAATGGCCTCTCTGTGGACAAAATGATAAGTCTGTATCTTCCATGTGCTTAAATAATGCACACATCTATTTGTTACTTATCATACCAAATGCACAAATTTTCTCCCAGTGTCAGAAAATCCACACTGTTGATACTAAAAATTTAACTGAATCACAGAAGTAGATAAATCTTTATTTATATTCCAATTTGTAACAAATCATATCCATATTCACAGTTCCATACAGTTTTTCACATTAAAAACACTAATGGTTAAATGAGAAGTTTATAGACATCAGCCACATTAGCTGGGGGAAAAATTAATACAATATATGCTCCACTACTTAATGTCAAAACATTTTGTTACAAATGTTTAAGGGTAGTATTACCACATCAGTTTACATATAAAAATGCACATACATCTCCAAGGAACATTAACTTCCTTCTTGACAATGGCAGTCATTGCAAAATCCCATTAGAAATGGTCTGGTCTCTTTAAAAACTCAGTATCACAGTTAAAGAAAGTGAGGTGGACAGTTTTAGATTAACAGACTAAAGAGACATAATAGCCAAAAGAAATGCATGAACCTTGATTAAATCCCAGTTCAAAAACAAGCATAAGACATCTTGGGAGACTTGATATCCATGAATTATTTTTCATGATTTTAAACGTGATAATGATATTGTCATTATGTAAGGGAATGTCCTTATTCTTAGGAGATGCTTGATGAAGTATTTAGGAATCAAGTGTCACGATGTCTGCAATTTATTTTCAAATGTTTAACAAAAAATAAAACAAACATGGCACAAAATTAACAATTACTGAATCCAGCTTTTCTGTACATGTGAGATTTTTTCATAGTAAAAATATGGGGTAAATTTTTATTGAGTTACTCTCTGTTTCCAGTATCTCATGTGAGGTTTCAAAGCATTTTTCCAATATTCACATTGTAAACTAAACACAAAAACTTGAACACAAAAAGACGTATTACCCAAATTAGGGTAAGTGGAAGACACAGATGACCTTGGCTGGTCTTTCAGGAACTGCAGTTTCTTGAACCACTACAACAGACGACTATCTACAAGGTATACATAGGACTGGATTTTACCTGCAAGTGGACAGAGCCCCGGAGGAGTCTGCTGTCGTACAAAGGACAGAAATTCATACTCTGCCTGCTGCAATGTAATTGTACTCTCCTTCACTGCCTTGGTAAGACCAGACTGAAAGAGAGAATCCCCAACCCCCCACCAGAAACACATGAAGTCAGTTTTTCAAAGGCATCCAGAAATGAAACTTCACTTCTAAAATGGGCAAATATAACCTGACATGGGCCATTTTTAGAGCTCAAGTTCAAACTGAAACTGCCATCTTTGCAACACTTTGTTCTTAAAAGAATCCAAGCCAAATCAACTGTTCCTGATTGTTAATAGCATTCCCACACAGTCAAAAAAGATGGTGCTCAGAGTCCAAGGATATAAGCTCTGGGAAGAAACAACTATTGACAGGAGAGCAGCATTCCCCCTTCTCTGAAAGGGTGATGTCTAACCTTATCCAAAAGACTGACTTGAGCAATACTTGAGTATCCACAATGCGTTCGCGACAGACTGAATGTAGGAGAGAAAAAAAGAGGACATTCAGGAGAAGATGATCTCGAGAGGTCCCAAAGATGAAAGTAAAGCAGCAAGCAGTTTCCCAGGCTTGCCAAGCAATCTTCCTCTAACCCTTTTTTAAATCCCATCCATCAATGGTATAGGATTCAGATGTGGGAACAATAAGCTTGTTAGATCCCCAAAGCAGCAATCCTGTTATTTGGTAATGTTACCTTCCCATGATGCTCCTTACACCAATCTGACATGCTGTCCAGCAACTCATCTGGCTGCTTTATAATCAGGTTAGGACCCTGTGGATAGGAAAGTCCATTAGTCACGAAGAATCAACAGGAATAACCTTACTGTCTGAGATAAACCTTAAGTGGCTTTTAGGATTAAATATACTTGCCAGAGAAATTAAGGTGAGGGCATTTTGCTAACTCTAAAAGTGGCCCTCATTCACTACAGCACTATTTATGAGAGCATTGTTGTTGTTGTTGTTACGTGCCGTCAAGTCAGACCTGGCTCAGAGCAACCCCTCCCTTGGGTTTCTGAGGCAGTATCACTACAGAAGTAGATTGCCCAACCTTCCTTCCGATATGAGAGCATAGCAAAAAAAAACCACACACACATCTGACTGAAAACCTAAATGTCTATTCAGAGAGGACACAGATCTATATTAAGGACTGGCGAACTATGGCCCCAGTCTGCAGCTGTCTTATTTATGGCCAGCAAGATGAGGATAGCTATTACTATCCTTTTACTAGTTTTTAGTTTTTGAAAGGGTTGTAAAAGAAAGAACAACATGTGACAGAAAAGTATGTGGCATTCAAAACTTAAATACTATCTGACATACAGAAAAAGTCTCTTGTCATTAGTTTAAAAATAGGTAAAATTATACTGTTTAATTTTAACAATAATTTTACATGAAACATAGCAAAAAAAAAAAAAATTTAAGAGACACTTAATGACATCCAGAGGGAGAAAAAAAGTGGCCTTCAAATTCTCAGCGCCATGTAATAGTCATAACATTCAACTAAGAGTCTCTAGGATTTAGTCCCAGCAGTAACAGTGCCCTCACCTGTCACGGGGGGCTTAGCTTCTTTTTCTGTATAATGGGAATGACAATAAGCCACCCCCCTTCACTCTGGGATGTTAACAGGATTAAAAAAAAAAAAATTATAGACACAAAAGTTCTTTAAGCCCTCTGGAAGAAAAGTACTCTATTAATCCAATGTAGTATTATTACTAAAGTGGTAAAAATGGTTTGCAATCTTTGAAATGAATGATGAGAATTTGACTAAAATGTGCCTGCCACAGAAAAGAGTTTTAGTCAAAGAATAAAGTTGGTGATAGTAAAAATAATCTCCATGGAAAAGCCAAAGATTTGCTCTGATAACTTACCAAAAATAGTAACAACAACAACAACAAAAAAAACCACTAAATATAAAAAACCAATTCTAATCAACAATGATGGAAAAAAGCAAACTATTATAAAACTAAGGTTTGTACGCTTCATTATACATCTCAATTAGCAAACTAAACTAGCTACAGAAAAATTTTCAGTCAGATGTTTGTTCTTTTACTAGCATAAAATATATTCCTCAGACTCTTACATAAGGATAAAAGATACTCTCCACAGAACTGACATTTAAGTGCCAACAGCCTTTATTTTTTTAAAAAAAAAATATTGTTTATCCTCATCTGACTGTCTATATACAAATGTTACACTCATCTGCAGCTGTGGGAATACATAGCCAAATGTCTTCCAGGGTACATATCAACTAATTGGTCCATTAAACTGTCAGTATTTCACATTATATCAACAGCTTAAGGGAAAAACTCTTCTTCGGCCAATGGTAAGGAGAGCTGGTAAAATCAAAGCACTTCTCTTCACTATTCGTCTCCAGAAAATTCAAATGACAGAAAAAACAACCAAAGTTGTTCCAAAAAAGCTAGTTGTTATGATGAGAAATCAAAAGCCTCATGACTCTCCTTCAGCTAATGTGCTGATGTATAAAGAAGATATTGATGGTATTTTAAGAATAAGTGGTAATTCATATATAAATGCCTTCCCTCCTCTTTTACCTACTCAAAAAAGTAAATGGATGTCTTAACTGTACACTCATGAACTTTATCCAGCGTCAGTAACAAATCAATCCTACCCTCTGGGAACTTTTTTTCATTTTCTTAATCAAGCCTCCCTTTTTCATAAGCATCCTTACTTTGTTCCTACTCTAGAATTTCTTGATAACTCTGAATACTGCTGACAATATGGAACAGAGTTATTCAAGGTCAGGGATTTCATCCCTTACCAATCACATGGTGTCACATACTTACTAAGTGCTTCATGAGTGGCTGAGATGCAACAGGTGTGTTTTATTTGTTTTGCTTAATGTCCCAGTTAAAAGCATGTAAAAACCTTAATTATGCCCAATATGTCCTCAAGAGCACATTTTACAGACATGCATCAGTAGAAATTCTAAAATTTTAATAGATTATCTAAAAGAATCATACATCCTAGTTGAAAAGGCAGGAATCAGGTATCTGGAGTCAAGTTAAAATTAAAATTATGAAAGTAAGGCCTGGTGAGACCCCTGAAACTATAGCCCCTAGTTACCCTTCAGGTCTGGAACTGAACTCCCTCCTGTGGCTTCCAGCCAATAACAGACAGGCACATGGGGTGAATATTTACATCAGGCAGATACACTCCTTGGAGCGATCAATTGTGGGAGAACAGAAGGGCAGTGTTTGCACAGGGAGACAGCTCAGGGGGTAGGAGTGCATGGGAAAGAAGGACACAGGGAAGAGGTAGCTATAGGGAGGAAGTGGGAAAAGAGCTATTATACTGTGGGGAGTTGCAGTCAATGTCATGAAACAAAATGTGTATGAACTGCTGTGTGGAAAATGAATTTGCTCTTGTAAACTTTTACCCAAATCACAATTAAAAATATTTTTTTAAAAAAAATACTCAATTATGAAAGAAAGAAGCAAACTTTACAAGAATTACCAAACCTAATGGGACAATACAGCCTAGAGGTTAGAAGCAGACAGCCTGGATTCAACTGCTGGTTCCCATAATGACTAGCCAGATGACCTTGCACAAATCACCCAACTTCTATGTCAAAATCAATCATCCTAACAGTACCTACCTTATACTTGATGTGAGGACAAAGAGTGAAAACATGCACAACATTTAAAATTGTGCCTGGCTCACACTAAGACTCAGTAAATGATACTCTTCATGTGTCTATAAGTTTTGGGCATGGTTTATTATAGAGCTAACTAGCCTGAGACATGAATTACTTTGGTTCTAGTATTAAAGCTACCATGACCTAGCACCTTACTTTGGACCTTAATCTATATGGACCTCAGTTTTCATATTTTTTTTTAAATAAAGAGATTGGTGGTGTGTGTGTGTGTGGGGGGGGGGTTGGAGATAATCTTTAGAATTCCGATCAACTCTAAGCAGTACCACAGCATCACCTACTTCAGCCAAAATGTTGAGATCAGAATCAGTTATCAGACAGGCCATCTCAATAATCTGGTCCTTCTCAATGTCCAATCCTGTCATCTGCAGTTAAAACAAATAAATATTAAAAACAAAACCATCCTTCTGGCCTACTTTACCCATGTTTATTTAACAGGAATTCTGTCAAGTATATTCAGTTAATTCCCTAGCTGGCATAGAAGAGACAAATTGCCCCTTGAGGGTAAGTCTACCAGACAGGAAATACGGTATTCATTTATTTAATAAAATTTACCAAGGGCCTACTCAACAGCAGTGGGGTAGAGTTTTTACTATAGATAATGCACCCAGTTGCCACTGCCCGCAGATGCAAAAACAGGGTCCCTGTGCTGGCCGCATGCAATTTTGGAAGAGTTAGATAACTAATTATCACTACACCCCAGCAAAGTATACAAAGTTTTCTTATTAATTACAACACTTCATCTTCACTACAATCTGATGCAGAAAGCTCTGTTATTATTCCCATTTTATATAAAAGAAAAATGAGGGTCAAAGGCAGGGGGGAGCACTTGTCATGAGTAATGGTAAATATAATAGAATCAGAACCAGAACTGGGTTCTAGTCCCAAATCAGACTTACTAACAGCATGACCTTGAATGACTCCAACCCTCTCTCTGGGCCTCAGTTTCCTAATTTATGAAATCGAGGATAAGGCTGAGTCATCGCTAGAGTCCAGTTTAGCTCTAATAACCTAGTCCTTTAAGGCTGGAGGAAGAAGGGTCGGCAGAGCCACTGTTTCCACCTCCAACCCTGTGACACTAAGTCCAGAGGGACCAGCGCGTTACGGATGCCTACATCTGGGCGGAAGGGGGTGTACCATATGGATGACTCCTCTCTTTGGAAAAGAAACCCCACAATACAGCACGTCCCCCAACACCTGCAAGTCTCAAGCCCCCGGACTTGCCCTGAGACCCTACAGCCAAGCGGCGCTCACCTGCCACACCTAAGCCCAGACCTCCGCCGCTCTCCCCGAAAGGCTGGGCTACTGAGTCCCACGCGCGAAACCTCACTCACCTCCCTTTATCTCTCGCCGACTTCACTCACCTCCAAGTCCACCCAAACCATCCGCTGAGCCATGCTCTCCCCTGCCGCCATGGCTGAGCCACCTTCGCGGATACCCCGCGCCCAGAAGTGTCCGCGACTCCCACCCACACCTCGCAACAGCCTGAAGCCCAAGGAGCCGCCTAGCATCACCAGGCACGAGCCACCACAGCCCCAGCCTATCAGCCGGCGCTGGCGCAGGCGCGATAGTCGCTAAACGTCGCAAACCCGCAGGGAGGCGCAGAAGCAAAGACCACAATTCCCAGTATCCAATGCGCCGACTTGCCCTGGACAACCCGGTTTAGCTGCCGAATGGGATGATGGGACTTAGAGTCTCGTCTGGTGTTGAGACCAGATTCCCCACCCCCGCCACGTGTTTTTCGGATGTTACTGGACGCGCATGTTTTTCGCAACTAAGTTGATTTGTTTCCAAGAGTTTTATTTCCTGAGTTTTGATTAGTTATAAACCGCCTAGATTAAAAAGAATTACTTTAGTTGGTCGAAATGATCTAGTTACGTATTTGTGAATATTTTCAAATAGATCTTTTTTTGCTTTTTAATTTTTTTTCTCTTTTGCTTACCCTCCCCCAACACACACACACACACACACACACACAGAGTATATTTTTCTCATTTGCTTAAAACAGAAGAGTAGTGTACTTTTTTTTAGGTCATAAGGCCAATTCCACTTCGATCAAATGTTTTATATATCCTTAGATGGAATCTTGTCTGAGAGATCACTTAGCATATATTAAGCCAAAACCAAACCCGTTTCCCTGGATTGGATTACAGCTCATAGTGACTCTATAAGAAAGAGTAAAACTTCCCCATAAGGTTTCCAAGGCTGTAAATCCTTAGGGAAGCAGATTGTCACAAGTTTCTTCCCTTCATTGGTAAAGAGTAATCTGTTATTATGGAGAGAAACGCTGTTTTAGTGCTTTCACCCATTTTCTTCTTTTGGGTAACAGTGGTAATGAATTCCTATTCTGCCTTTACAGGTTCTCAAACTTAAATCTTGTCCTTGTGGAACACATCTATGTAGTGGATTTAATTAAAATGAAATTAAGCACTATTCTTCCTGCTCTGTAATCTGCTTTGGTTTTCATCAAAGTATCTTTAACCTCCCCCAATGACGGCTGTAGTTACCGTCATTTCCAGGAATAAAAGATGTCACGACAGGATCTTTCAACCCTCGTCGTTGTCGTCGTCGTCGTTATGCGCCGTCGAGTCGGCCCCGACTCATAGCGACCCCTCCTTGGGTTTCCGAGGCAGTAACACTACGGAAGTAGGATTGCCCAACCTTCCTTCGAGGAGTGGCTGGTGGGTTTGAACCGCCAGCCTTCTGGTTAGCAGTCAAGTGCTTTAGCCACTATGCTACCAGAGCCCCTCTTTCAACCCTGGAGCGTGAAATTTCGGGAGTCCTTTAAACAGAAACTATTCAGCAAATTTGTGTGCAGACTGCAACCTTGTGGCAAATGTTGATCTCAGCCTTGAACTGTATCATCTATACATTTTTCTAAGAGCCTATTGACACTAATTACAGAGCTTCTGGCCCATCACATGATTACTCCTGCCTAGTGAGCTGGTTTTGTGAGAGAGAAACTTTGTTGCCCAGTCAGAGGTTTGAAAGAGAGTGTACTATACTGGGTTTCATCTACTCCTTTGGTGTCCACAATCCAACATCTGCCAGAGCACTCTTCAAATGGTTGGCACAATTTATACAAACAGAATCTCCAGCATAATGTGCATATATTGTAACTGTTTTGCTTGATGAGTCACATTGTTTTGCTGTAGCTTTTTATTCATTTGTAGCTTACTTTATAAGAAATGGTCTGTACTTCTTTACTTTTGTGTTTTAATTTTAAACTTGGTTCATATAAAGTAGAATCATTTGAATTATAAAAACTTTCATCAACTCATCTTTTTATTATCCTCCCAAAGTATTATTTCTTCAAATTTTCAAAGGAGAATTTTTGTTTTCAGTGTAGGAGCTCTGGTAGCATAGTGCCTGAGACACTTGACTGCTCACCAGAAGGCTGGCGGTTCAAACCCACCAGCCACTCCTCAAGGAAGGTTGGGCAATCCTACTTCCGTAGTGATACTGCCTCGGAAACCCAAGGAGGGGTTGCTATGAGTCGGGGCCGACTCGACAGCAAACAACAACAACAACAACTAGAACATTGACTAGTTTTACTACAGATACAACTTCAAGGGTGGTGTTTACATTTGAGAACTTATATCCCAATATATCATAATTGTATTTCAAAAATATAGAGTAGTTAAAATTATATGGGGAGTATCCATATAGTGCAATGTTATTCAGCCAAAAAAAGGAATGAAGTACAGATGCATGATGAAACATGGATGAACCTCGAAAACATAATGCTAAGTAAAAAAAAGGTCGAGTTTTGTATGATTTCATATACATGAAATGTCCAGAACGGAAGGAACCCTGGTTGCTCAGTGGTTAAGCACTTGGCTGCTAACCAAAATGTTGGCCGTTTCAACCCACCAGCTGCTCCACAAGAGAAAGATGTGGCAGTCTGCTTCCATAAAGATCACAACCCTGAAAACCCTATGGGGCAGTTCTACTCTGTCCTGTAAGGTTGCTAGGAGTTGGAATCAACTGCTAGAACCCTCAAGACCATGGTCTTCAAGCCTGGAAGTGAACCCACCCACCCGTGGGTATCAACTTTCAGCCAAACAATAGATCGGCCTACAAAGTGAACAGTAACACCAGAGAGGACTATACTCTTCAGAACAATCAACCACACAAGACCACAAGGGCAGTATTTGCCCAAAAACAAAGCTCCTAAGGTAGGAAGGGGCAGGAAAGAAGGACAAATGGAAACAGGGAACCAAGGGAGAATGTGGGAAGAGTGCTGTTACATTGAGGGGGTAGCAAGCAATGTCATAAAAGAAAATGTGTATAAATTGTTGAATGGAAAATGAATTGCTCTGTAAACTTTCACTCAAACTATAATAAAAGTAAAATAAAGTGTTTAATTTGATGCTAAGTGATAAAACATTTAAAAAAAAAAGTGTGGACATTTTTGAAACTTAAGTTTTATTCAGATACAGTCATGTAATTTTACTATAACAATAAAGACAAATTTTAGGTAATGGTATTATGAAGTTACAGGAGTTACAAGTTTTGTCTTTTGTATGTCATATCATTAGATTGGCAATCTAAAAGATTTATGTCCCAGGTAAGAAAAATGTATGCACCGGATCCATAAATCCAAACCATGTATGTATACAGGAGGGAGGACAGACACAAGATGTGGCCCCAGAATCTGGGAGCAACATGGTCTCACAGAGGACTCAATCATTTCTTCCCTCTTTCCTTTCTTAACAGACTTTATCTGAAAGCCATATTACTCTGCTCAGAGAGTTGGGGGATTTTTAAATTATATTGGGAGTTCTGGTGGTACAGTGCCTAAGACATTTGACTGCTAACCAGAAGGCTGGCAGTTTATACCCACCAGCCACTCCTCAGAAGGAAGATTGGGCAATCTACTTCAGTAGAGATACCACCTCGGAAACCCAAGGATGGGTCGCTATGAGTCAGATCCCACATAAAGGCAGTGAGTTTGGTGTGGTTTTTTGTTTGTTTGTTTGTTTTGTGAACCAATAAAAACTGCCTTTGTTAATGAACATCAAGGACATCATGCCAGGAAAACTTAGTCTCAAAAATCATGTTGTTGGAGACTTCCAGTAAGATGGAGGAAAAGGCAGACAAGTGACACAGACCCTCTTCAACAAAGAAAAAAAAAAAAAAAAAAAAAACAGTTGACAGAGATACAGAAAATAATCCTGGAGCCCTGAGCTTTGAAAGGAACTACACAGAAGTGAATTAGGCACCAAGTAGTGGAAAAATCTGAATGAAAACAGTGAGTACAGAGATGGTCAGAGCTGCGGACTGTCAGCTACTCTGACAGAACCAATAGCCTGAATATTTCCAAGTGGTGTTGGGACCTGAGAATTGACCTAAAGATCAACCCTGGTCAACAAGGGCTACAGGGACAACTGTGCTGGTTGCCGATGACTAGGATGGGAAACAGCAAGGAGGGAGACAACCTGAGCTGTTGACTTTCTGTTGTCCAGAGGGTGCAGTCATTTTGATTGTTTACACACGGCAGCCATTTTGGATATTTAAAGTGACCGAGGGTGCAGCCATTTTGAAATATTTACAAGTGGTGGCCATTTTGGATATTTAAAGTGACCAAGGGTGCAGCCATTTTGAATGTTTACAAACAGTGGCCATTTTGGATATTTAAAGTGATTGAGGGCGCAGTCATTTTGAATCTTTACAAGTGACAACTATTTTGGATTTTAAAGTGACAGCATTCTCATTTGGATTCCAGGGACCTAAGAATAGGCTCTGTTTGCCAAGGTCACAGGGACATATGAGATGCTGAGAACAGAAAAGGAGACAGGTAGTGAGTGTATAAGTGCTGCCAACTAGCAAATAGTGGTGCACAGCACAGTACCCTGCTTGCATAGATAACATACAAACAAAACAAAACAAAAATCATGGGCAAGTCACTCCAACATACAATCACCAATTAAATATAAACACAAAAATGTCGCAATGCCTCAGAGACAACAGAGCATTGCAGTCCACAAAAAGAAGCAAGATAAGGCAGGAGAAACAAGGGACTAGAATATGGATCCAAAACATACCCCTGAGGAAGACACAGCATTGGAACTCCCTGATAAGGAATTCAAAAGAATTATATTTAGGTATCTTGAAAGGATTGAGAGACAGAGCAAGGAAAACACAGAAAAAACCCTAAAAGAATTTTGGAAGAAAATACAAGAACAAAATGACAAAATAAATGAAAAATTAGAAATTATTCAAAATCTACAGATAGAAATCCAGAAGATTAATACTAAATTGTTGGAAATAGATAGCACATTGAAAGGGCAAAGGAGTAGAATTGATGCAATGGAGGACAAAATTGATGAGATTAAAGAAAAATACCTGAATATTTCTTTGGAAAGGGGTCAATCAGAAAAAAAGATCAAAACGAAATGAAGAAAACCTAAGGTTCACGTGGGATACCATCAAAAGGAATAACCTACCTGTCATTGGAATTCTAGAACAGGAAGAGAAAAATAAAACCACAGAGAAAATTGTCCAAGATTTGTTGGAAGAGAACTTCCCTGATATGATGAAAGATGAGAATATATCATTCAGGAAGTCCAATGAACCACAAACAGGATAGACCCCAAAAGAAAGTTACCCAGACATACCATCATCAAACTCACCAAAACCAAAGACAAAGAAAGA